TAAAACACACAAAACAAATGAAAACTCATGTTTTCACCCCCAAACTTAAATTAGATATTGTCCTCAATGTCTTAAATCATATGTTCGCATCTATAGGGTTGGGGGAGAAAATGAAGAAAAGACTCCCCTGATATGGTGATGAAATTCAATGGCTAGCTTTTCCTTGTCTCCCGTTGTTTTCTTGGTAATGGTTTGTTCAAATGTTTAAAACACAAAAGATCTGGAAAAAGTGTTACTTGGCTTAAATATCAATAAACCAACAAGTAACCTAAGGAAAAGTGGGATATGGATGATATTTCCCTAATTAAACTATAAAAATAAACTAAATTATCCTATAAGTAGAAAGTAAAATAAATAAAAGGGATAGAAAGATTGGGTTGCCTCCCAACAAGCGCTTATTTATAGTCTTTAGCTTTGCTTTATTGTTTTGGCATCATGGAATTTTAAAAAATGCTTTTGATGCCTTGCTTAGTTTGCTCCTTTTAATTTTGCTCCATTCTTCGTTGCTTCTACAAATTTTAGCACTGCCCCTTCCAATGTTATATGACTTACCTATCTCATACGATTCAAGTTCAACTATGTAGACTTCTTCCTCCTCTTCGAGTTTAATTACAAATTCAATGATCAGGCAATCAATGAAGTCGACAGAGTGTGAGTTAACGTCTTCTTCATTAATTACCTCCCATTCATTTTGTTCATTTGTAATTGAACTTTTATCGTCTTTGTTCTTGTCTTCTATAATTGATATATCCTCGGGTTGAACTACATCCATGGGCAATGGAAACTCTTTTCTTTCAAACTTCTCGAGTGCATTATACCTCCACCTTTTAAATTCAATCCAGAATATGCCATCTCCCATGCACATTTTATTTTCATCTAACTTGGTAAGATCAGTATAGTATTTTGCAAGTACCTCATCATTCAACATAGAAGGACCAACTCCCACAAGCGTGTCTGAAGGGACACACTCGCCCACAAGCATGTAGTCTTCATTAGCATTGTCAAATACTAATCTTCGACATCGCGAATATTGTTGAAATCGCAAGAGCTTGAGCCTTCCTGGGTCAGTGCATTTATACAAGCAGTATCTAGTATAATGCACTCCATAGCAAAACTCACAATATATATCTTCTTCCTCACCATCTATGTCGAGATTAATTACTGCAAAAATAATTCTACTATGTCGGCATCAAAATCTTGCATAGAATACCAAATAAGAGAGATCAGGGTGGGTAGCCAAATTCAACAAAATGATGATGATGATGATGATGATGATGATGATGATAATAATAATAATAATAATAATAATAATAAAGTGAAAAAACTCGAATCTAATATAAACTATTAAACTAAAATTAAATCCGTTATTCCCTGACAACAGCGCCAAAAACTTATTCGTGTGAAACCCGCAAGCGTACGGGATCGTTGTACAAGTAATAAGATTTGTGAGTTAAAAGTATCGTTCCCACGAAGAATAATGTCTAATATTTAGTTAAGTAACTTTTACTAAATTCGAAGTAATATAAAATCAAAAAAATTGTGATTTGTATATTTTATATGTTAATCTTAAACTAAGAAAGCAAATAAAATATTTACTTAATATGTGAATATTTGTATTGGAATCATGAATCCTCCTATTACCATTTAATTCAACTCTTAATTTATAATTTAGTAAATTTATGTTTTCAAGACAATCGATAATCCACTTTTATTCAATATTCTTTCTCAAGATATATTAAACATATGTTTAACACGACCCGATTCTATTCCTAATCCGAATTCATATGAAAAACATGTATTGATTCACAAGATTTATCACACATGATTGCACATGTCATAGATATTATTCCTACACCTATTGTCCATGTGTTGATTTTACCGCGCATTCTAAACTTATTGTGAGTATTCCTACACTACAACAAGCAAATTACTATCTAATTGTAATCAAGTAATTAAATAGTTCAATGAGAATGCAAAATCAATCAAGAAAAATTCATGAAATACTAAATTAATTGTCTTAAATTAAAATAAACAAACAATAGGATTCATCATTCATCCAATACAATGAGAAACTAGCCTAGCATATTAATATATAAATTACAAGCATAATACTAGAAAAATATTACCCGGATCATGAAAGAATACAAAAGATGTTGATCTTCAAGTCCAAAGTGGAATTCTTCAAAATTTTGATGTAATTGAACTTTAATTCCTTGCTATACTTGATCTTCTCTCTCAAAATATAATAATTGGCCCCTTGTTTTTGATGAATTTAATGAAACTATTTTGTATGAAGAGGTAAGAGAGAGACTATTTCATTGCTGCCCATATCTTGTATTTATATGATGAAATTATGTCAAAGTTCACATCCAAATTGTTTTCCAGAAGAGTTTGAATAAAAAAGGAAAGTTGCCTTGCACATAATTTTGTCTCTGCACAGCTTTCAATATTTTGGTCATAACTTTCTCTTTCAGTGTCCGATTTAGGTGATTCAAAGTGCATTGGAAAGTTAGTTAAAAGAGCTACAATTATTCTAGAAGTACAATTTTTCCAATTCAAACATTCTCCATCCGAAAAATGGGTCTTAACTTGACCAAAAATCTTGAAGATATCTTATATGATTGAAAGTCTATTTATGGTAATACTATAATCATATCCCTTTCCTTTTTTACTCCAATTTGCATTCAATTAACTCCAATCAATCTTCAAAGTATATTTTTTGGTCCAAATCAACCATCAGATATTTATACTTTGGTCCCCATACTTTAGATTTGATTCATTTTAGCTATTTTTCGTTCTTTTTTTCAATTCTTCTTTGAAACATAAACTTTACCTAATAAATCAATAAATAATAAATTAGGTATTAATCCGTTCAAAGAATAACAAAATATCATCATTTAAGATCCCAAATAAGTATAGAAACTACACTTATCAAAGCCGATCAAGCAAAACAGCATGTAATATATTTATACTTATAGATAATAGAGTAGCCTAATTAAATTAATCTCTAGCTTATGATTTCTTCCATCTGTGACAAAGGTCGAAACAGAAGTAGTAACTTTCTTTCTGAGCTCTGACCTCAACAATAGAGCTCAACAATAGAGGCTCAAGTGGGTTGGGATAGTAACTATGAAAAATCACCCTCGGGCAACGACTTCGAACTTGATGATGAGTCTGCTAGATACCGAAGGGCACACATGCTAAGCATAAGCTGGAGTCTCCTGACGAGGTGAGAAGCGCTTGGTGTACAAGGGTGCGTTCACAGGGGACTTACGGGTCACACACAATGAGCGAGATGGGTGGGTATTTTTTTGGTAATATTTTACTCACATGAGGTCCACCCCATGTGAGTACTCTGTAATTTTCCCATGAAACATTATTCAGAACACATAGAATAATTGAAGACTCTATTTATAATTTTTTCCATCTTTATTTTTACTTTGGGAGGTCAACTAGTCCTTCTTAAGACTATTTTTCTTTAGTTATTAATAAATGTATAATATGATAACTAAACTGCAAGTTTTTTCATTTTTTTCTTATCTTACATGCTAAACAAGATAATAATATACTTTTTCCCCCCTTCATTTTTGCTTCGGATTGTTATGTAATAATATAACATGTTTGAAACTGAGAATCCAGGCTGTAGCTATAAGTGCTAAATTTTCAACACACTAGGCTATTAGACTTAAGACACTACAACAAAAACAGCATCTCATAACAGGCAAAAAATATTGCAAAAAACCATTAGAAATGGTTGGAGGTATGTTATGGGCTTCAATGTTGCCATAGACTAACAGAATACAGCAACGTTCAAAGATTTTTTGAAAAGTTTTCAAAGAATGTTCTCATTAGTTTTTTGTAACATTCATTGCACATTTTAGTTAACGCTTTAGCAACGTTCAATGAACGTCATCGTTAATGTTTTAGAACATTGCCGTTGGCGGAGTTCGACTTATGCAGGGTTTTTTTACTGAACGTGTAAAGGGCTGAAGTCCCATCATTTTACATGTGTTGGTGTGTTTTTTTCTTGACCAGAATGGAAAAGTGAAGAATCCACGTAACGTGGAGGTGGGGTGGAGTGGGAATAGGAGGTGTGGCAAATTGAGCAACAAACGTGTATTTCAAGTAAAATATATTTTCTTTTGCTAGTAAGAGATGTATCAATGTGTTAAAAAGCGGCTAAACGGGGACAATAAATTTCAATTCACTTAGTGTCCAAAATTGATGGCTATAATTGGCTCTTAAGCTACGAGTTGCACTGATTCATATTCGACCAAACGAGCCGTTACTTCTCAAGCTTTTGAGTATTTCTAATCTAACATTGACCACATACAGTATAAGTTTTTTAGAACGGTATCTAGAAAAAAAAAATGGCAAGCTACGACAGAGCATGAGAAAACACTAACGAATATAAACATTGCACGAGTAGAACATGAGCCTACAAGGTCAATTCTAGTACACTCACCGATTTACCTCTTCTCAATACTGTAGAATCGTTGCAACCATTGGACTACCGTTGGTTGTGCCTAACAAATACACTTAAGCAATCCATCTGTTTAAAAAGTGGTGTGTTCCTCGAATACAAGTTAGTAGTAACATGACAACAGTAGATTTCATTTGAGTCTAAAGTTCTTGTCTTGAACAGTAAAAAGATTTGTTTCAATACTTCTAAATCTAGTAATCTACATGTTCCAACTTAAAATTGCTTTTTCAAACACGCAAATGGTAATGGGATACCCATCCATTGTCATTTAGCTACTGTTTTCTCTCTGTCTATGTTACCTTCAATGGAGTTAAAATTTGTGTTACTCTTCTAGGCCACAATGCAATCTTTATAACCTGTTTTTTTCCAAAACACCAAGCCATTTTGCTACCTACTCTACAGATTGATTTCATTAAGTAAAGGAATTTACACGACACCAAAATTTCTCCTACGTGTTAAAAGCTTGACGGTGGAAAATCCTTGCTTTATTATACATCACTATCCTATGGTCTAGTCACGAACTCTTTTAGTCAATTGTGTTAGGTCCTCATTGTTCCTGGAGTTTAACAGGCATTTTCAACTTCAGAAAATTTCAAGAATTGTCTTAAAATGTTATGATCCCTTTTGTTTAATGGAGTGGTATTCGAAGATGCCAACAGGGTCGGACTGGGATGGTGTCGAGCTAATTGAGCTCGCTCGGCAGGCAGGGACTTCGCTTCAAGAGATTGAGACGAACAAAGACATGGACATAGCATTTTTATGTAATGGTTTTGAAAGTGGATCTTCTTCAGGAAGTCCTTTTGTATCAGCAGGTTCTTTGCCTGTAAGCAATAAAATAGACGAAAATTTTATCGGGACAGAGAAGTTAAGTGGGAGCTCAGGTAAATGGATTATTAGTTCAGAACTAGGAAAACAGAACGTGTATGGATCGGCATCTTCAATTGCTACAAAAAGATCGAGGGTGTCTCATCAGAAAATGCAGAATCCCAGCTGCCAAGTTGAAGGGTGCAATCTTGATCTCACATTGGCAAAAAATTATCACCGGCGTCATAGAATCTGTGAAAACCATTCCAAAAGCCCCAAGGTAATTGTCGCTGGAATAGAAAGGCGGTTTTGCCAACAATGCAGCAGGCAAGTTTATTTGCATTCTGTTTTTTCACTTGTTTTGCACATGTTAAGTTACAATTTTATTTTTTATTTTTTTCACGACGTAAACTGTCTGTTTGATATTCGAAAGATTCCATGACTTGTCGGAGTTTGATGATAAAAAAAGAAGCTGTCGAAGGCGCCTCTCTGATCACAATGCCAGACGCCGTAGGCTGCAGCCTGAGTCGATCCATTTAAGCTCAGCAGGATTGTCTTCTTTGTTATATGGTGTTCTTTAAACTCTTAAATTTTGAATTTAGATTTTCTCATCTTTCATTTTAAGTGGCTTAGCAAGTACAAGTAATTCCTGTTTTCTGATCGACAGAGCGGACATCACAGAATGTGCTGTTTAATGTACTCCCTATCTCACATTCAAATCGAAAAGGGGAAAATATCTACAATTCTATGCTTACACAAGCCGATGATTCGCTCATTAGGCCTTCAAAGACAAGAGAAACTTATAGGAGACCGTGTTTACCTAACGATGAGATTCCAAGTGCCATTTATAGCCTACATGTCGAGTCCGAGAGGTCATTGTCCCTTCAGGGCACGAATCCTCGGGCCCTAGATCAATGTATGTGTTCTTCTATTTCTTTCCCACGCGATTGATTGTGAAGTTTCTCTACACAAATCCTACTATAATCCATATTTACCTCGTCCATGTGAAACCAATCCATCAGCTCGATACTTGCATTTGCAACTAATTCTTCCTTTTCAGTAGATCTACAGAGTGCTTCCTCTCCTCTGTCAATCGATAATCCTTGGAGTTTGAATCGGCATAAATCCACTTCTATGGAGGGCCTAAAGCTCGGAAACGCCAGTGTGGACAATCCGAACTGGCCATTTGTTCAATCAGCAGCAGCAGAAGGGTCTTCTGTTTCTCTGGTGCATTCGACTAATTTAAATCATTCAGGCAGTTTTCTTTTGCAAGACTTTGATTTATTCAAGACACCATATGACTCAAGATGATTTCATTTCAATGATCAAAGGAATTTATTATTGGAAATGTTTCATCTCTAGGTTATTTGCTCATTTGTTTCATTGTTTCCTTGCATTGAAATTGAAGTTTCGCGAATTTCAAATAGTTTACACTCGCCCTCGCCATCTGAACTTTGAAGCCGTGTTCAAATGTCCAGTGCATGTTTGATACGCTATGTTGAACACAACTGAATTTTTTCTTTCTTAAAGCCCAACCTTATGTTACTTGATATGTATCATCCACTTTTATCAATTTATATGGATCTTATACCAATTTTCTTGTAGTTTATATGTTTATGAAGTTGTCAAATCTTGTATTTACTTTTAATCAGGTGCATAACAGTCAAATTTGAATTTAGTATATCCATGACGATTAAAATTAATTGAAATAAATGAAGAAGTGAAAATAATTAAGCCTTAACTCCATTAAATACAACTTAGAAAGCAAAATATATGTTAATATACCATAAAATTCGATCCATTATGGCTCTAATTAAGAAAATTACCACAAATATATGAAATATTCTTCCGCTCAACCAAAATAATATCTAGAAATATTTTCCTAAGTTCATGACATGATTCTAAATTTAGAGCATAATAATCCTCTATTGTAGGGGCGGATCTAAAGGGGGATTGGGCTGGGCTGTCCCCTCTCTAGCCCACTTAATGTTTTTTTGGGCAAAATTTTTTTCTTTTTTGTGTAAATTTATATTTTTTTACATGTTAATCTAGCTTGTAGTTCGATCCTAGCTCCACCCTTGTCTATTGCTAACCAAACTGTTGCACAGCTTCCTTATCGATAAATATGGATAATTATAATGGATAAAAATTATTACAATAGCATACTCGAAAAAAATCCTTTGCGCCAAATGCATTAAACATTATTAACAACGGAAATATGAAATATGAAAAGTCGCCGTCAATACTCCTCTTCCCCCTCCCTTTTTTTCTCATAAATTTTCCTTTTCACCTTAGGGATTCATATAATCTGTGATTGCTTCTCATCGTTAAGCTATCATGACAAGGAATTGGAACAGGTTTAGGTACTGTGTGGCTACACGTGATTGGGTACTTTAAAAAAAAAAAAAAAAAAAAAACTAGCCAACCAAATGTTGACACGTGACACCTGGATTTAATCCTTATCCCATTCCGTGATGCCCTTGCCCTATAAGTATACAGCTCACGACGAACAAGGTTTAAAGTGTAGGCCCTATAGGCTTTATAAACAGGGCCTACAGGAAAAATCAAACAAATGAATAACTCAAATTTTTTTTAAAAAAAAAATTTTTAATTTCTTTTTCTTTCTCTCAATTTTTTTATTTTTTTTGAGAAGACAGAGAAAAATATTAACATTCTTATGTTCAAACAAAATGCTATCTTCAAGATATTTTATATAAATAATTGATTATAATTCAACCAGCATTTTTGTCCGACTCCAACCTTGACAAATCACAATTCTTTCTTCAGCTTTTCTTCATCCCTCTCAAATTAAGGTAATTATTCACACCACCTTCTATTATAGTTGGTGACATTTTAATATCACTATGGGTCCGTTTAATTACAAAAATGAAATTTGGGTGGAAAAAAAACAAATTTCAGGGAATTGAATTACCTAGAAATTGTTTTCTTAATAATTGTAAATTATTATATTTGATTGGTAAAATTTTTCACGTGAAAAATATTGAAATAAAAGTGTTTTTTGGTGTTCGTTTGGCTTTATTTTATGTTAAAATTGTCAATTAAAGTGATAGAATTTACTGGTATTGATGATAAAATTTTTTTCCATTGAAAAAAAAAAAAAAAAAATCAAAAAAATTCAAAAAAATCATCTATCTTTCAATATTCGTTTTGCTTTGTTTTACATACAAATTGTCAATTAAAGCGAAATATTTTTTTTACAATAATTCTTAGAATTTATTTTCATTATAAAAAAAAAAAAAAAACAAATGTTCAATAGTAACCGGGAAAATCAATTCCAACCATATTGGTGGGAATTGACTTTCCCACAAAAGCAAAAAAAATGCAATTCCCAAGAAATCCAAGAATTTATATTCCATGAAAAATAAATCTCTATCAAACACACCAAAGTTTAAAAATGCCATCCAAATTTCATTTTCTATAGAAATGTTTTGCCAATCAAACGGTGCCTTTGATTGTGAGCATAGAAATAAAATAAATTTTAGATAATTCAATTTATTAGAAATTATTTGTATGAAAATTATTAATTAAATGTGTTTGATTGATTTAATTTTCTACCTAAAATATGTTATACTTTTTCATTTTTTATTGGTAGGTAGATGAAAGGGATGTGATAGATGAAAGAGAGAGAGAGAATGAATTACTTTGAAAATAAAAACCATCCATCCGTAAAGAAAATATTTTTTTTTTTTTAAGAAAATATGATCACACGACTAAAAATAAGAAAATATTTTTCATGAAAAAATTGTCAATCAAACACCCCAAAAGTATGAATTTGGGTGGAAAATAAAGCCAAACAAATATACTCTAAATGTTTTTAACCTTTACTCATACTAGCATTCATGTTCTAAATTGTTTTCTAGTCGAATTTGAACCATCGGCAATCCATTAAATAGCACATTTTATTTTTTATACTAGTTTCAATCAAAAATATTCATTAAGAGGGCAAAAAAATAATTATCTACACCTTGTTTCATATAAATAAAAATAATAATAAATAAATAACGTGACAAAATATTTTCGTTTTATTTTGAAGTACGTGAACTGAATATTTTGATAGAAACAATCTCAAGGCACCAAATTTAATTTATCTTTATAATGTTTAACACAAATAATACTAAGGCAAAAGAGAATGGATGATCAAGACGATGACCTGAAATATGATCTACACTCACAATGGAGGTAGTAATATAGAATTTTTGCAATGAATGGAATTTATTTCTTAAAACATATATTTGAAAACAAAAACTATATTTCCACAGCATGTTTCGGTTTCTTACAGAAAGTGTAGACACTCCTTTGCTTGTTTTTGTTTCCGCAGCTACCACCAGCACTTGTAACACACCGTGTTATATCATTTGAGCAAGAACCCTTATTTAATTTTACTCCCTCTCTTGAATGTCAACTAAAATCTATTCCTATAATTCAATTTCAATATCTCTATTTCAAATCAAATAACTGAGAATTACCAAGTTCATAGTTCTTATGTGAAACATGCTTCAAATAAGTTAAACTTTCTCTTGAAACCTATAATTTCCTGAGTTCCTATTATTCTAAGGTCACGCTTAAGTTTCTCTCTACCGAGTGCCAAAACTTAAAATATCAATTCGTTCAATTAGTGATCAAGTAACTGAAAGCATTAAAATCAATAATACAAACAAAATGAAAAATATCAAAGAAATAAGTATTGAATCATCAAAACATAATCTCAAGTTGGTTACATCAAACCCTAGATAAGAATTTAGCTCATGACTATAGAGAGAGAGAGATTCAAATTCTCAATAAAAAAACATGTCGAGAAGAAGAAAGAAAACTATTTTGGTGGTTGAATCGATCCTCTTCTTGATCTTCTTCTTGGTTTCTTGATGATATTTTGCTTCTTGCCCTATTGAATTGTCCTTGAAAAGTGATCGCTAGATTGGTATTTATATTATATTCAAGTCCTTCCAAGAGTTATGGTCGGATTGATCTTTAAAAAGAAACCAAGAAGAATTCTAATTCTTATCATCTGGCAACGCCCCGACTTTATGTTGCTGAAACTTTAGAAAGAGTGGCGCTACGTGCCTACTTTTGGCCCAAAAATAGCAATGCACATCCTTTGATATTATACTTATTTATTTGATCGACTAAGAGAGTCATCGAGGGATCCAGATTAATAGAGAAAGACTCGTAGATAAAGAGATCGGGAATGAGTCTTATGAGGTCCAACATAACATATTGCAATTCCTTAATTTTGATATAGTGAGTTATCAGCCTCTGTCTGTGATTTTTCCCGTCTTGAATTTTTACTCGTCTTTAGTATTCATCTTATCCATTATCTCATATTTAATATTCATAACAATTGGTTAAATTTCTAGCAATTATCAGTACTTATAACATATTGTACTATACCATCATAATAATCACCACCATCATCACCTCCACCAATAGGATATATCATGTACCCTCTTCATAACCCACCACTTGCAAAACTTTAGCCTATCTCACTACTCGTAATCAAGCCTATATACAACTATCATCGCCACCAAACCAACATCCCATTTCACCACTGCCATCTCGCCCACCACAACCAATCAAATTTGACACTACCGCAACTACCACCCACACAATCTCCAACATCACCTTCCCTCACCACCATCTTGGCATAACTACCAGAATAAAGAAGAAACATATACTTTCCATCCACTACCTTTACATACACCATTGCTCATCTTCATCATATATCGCCAATAATGAATCCACTCATAACTATGCTCTACCTTTGCCTTCTAGATTTTCTGCTTAGTTCTAGCGTGTGTTTGTGCATGTATGTGTGTGCGGAATAAAAGGTCAATATTTGTGGAATAAAAAAGTAGCCATGGCATAATTGGAATTTGAAAAGTTTTTAAAGTTGCATGAATATTTTGTTGAAACTTTAAACTTTATAAATCTAGAAATTTTAGAATTTGAAAACTTAAATTCCTTTATTGCCTAGTTCCTTCATGTCAAATCACCCAGAAAATTAATAATGTGGAACATATCTTTGGAAATGATTCTTTATTATTGACTATTGGTTCTGAATCTTGAATCTTAAAACTTTAACTGCTATCATTTCATCTTTGACTTCTTCACTTTTAATTTTGAATTTTGCCTCATTTGATTATTTAATTCTTATTCTTGATTTTGCTTCTTAATTCATATTTATGATTCTTGAATTCCTTCTTCTTGATTTTTGATTGTGGATATTGGATCTTCCTCTTCAATATATTTTCTCTTGTATTCTTGTATTGATGGGATGACACAAAGAATAAAAAGTTGCATATAAATTGAGGATCATAACCCTATATAGTTTTTATATGTATTTTGTCCATCATAAAATACAATTCTAAAGGAATCTGGCATCTACACAATTTGGCCCACACTTTATTTAGACACCCTGAGTCAAACAATTTAATTCTTTATTAGATCGTTTTAACTTTGGACTCAAATTTAAGATAGCCTAATGCACAATTAATTACATATGTAGACCTACCTGACAAATTAAAATTTTCTCAACAATCTCCCACTTGATCCACATATGTTACCTGATAAATGTGT